TTGCCAGTTCAGTGGGTCTAGGTGGTTGAGTATTAGAGTGTTCCATCTCATTTCCCTTTGGGGTTGCTGTAGGTGATCTGGAAATCTGGTTTTGAGATTTATTTACGTGTTTTCTCATTTTGATTCGGGGGCAGGTGGGTGCTGTTGACGTCCGCGTGGCTCACCTCCTCTGAGCTGGGAGAGGTGGCCCAAGGGCCGGGAGCGGCAGTAGAGACGGTGGCCCGAAAGCCCCTTCCTCTGGGCCAGGAGCAAAAGGATGTTTGGCGGCCAGGAAGCCCCTTCCTCCGGGCCAGGAGTGTCATGACGTTTGGTGGCCTGGAAGCCCCTTTGTCTGGACCAGGAGCAGTGGGACGGCAGCTCCAAAGCCCCTACCTCTGGGCAGGAATTCTTTAAATGCTGAGAACTTGATTAGTTCTAGTACAGTGGTCTGGTGGTTTGGTGTCCTCTGCATCTTTGTAGTGTGGAACCAGGTGGCTGTACAGAGAAGAGGCCAAAGGAGCACGGGGGGGGTCCAGTGGATTGCTGCCAGGGCGCGGGCTGATTCGGTGTTTTCTGCAGGACTGTTGACCTTGGGACCGCGTCCGCAGACCTGCCTGTCTGCAGCGGGTTGATTTGGTGTTCTATCTGAACTTTCATTAGCCAAGATATAAGTTCAGTGTGGTTTAAGGTTGAACTAATCTGGCTAATTTCTAAGAACTAGAGACAAAGTTATGATGTGCATTCAAGTATTTGCAACTTGTTTTCCCTACAATGGACACTAATTATAATAATATTTTATGTGTGGATATTGGGACATTAGACATCTAGCATATTAAGTCTGTAAATGAGATCTTTGGCTATTGTTTTCTTTTTATTATAATTCAAAACTATCTATCTATCTATATCTCAAATTCCAGATTTCCATTTTCCTTTGAACTCTTGGCATCAACTTCAAATTTTGCTAGTTGTGGATACTATACTTTTCCGACTCCCTTCTAAAGAATTTGCATATTTGGGTAAGGTGTGTGTGTGTATGTGGTAGGGTAAAGCAGGGAAAGCAATGTATTTGATTATTGGAGTACACCATTCCACAGGAAACAAGAGATTTGCCAGGTTTTGGATCACATCTTTTATAGACCTTATTATTACATTGTCCAACCCATCATATTCAAGTCAGCCCACTCATGATGAGATATTATTTTGAAAGCTCTCAAGAGCACAATGACCTTCAATCCTTTATTACTTATTCCAGATGTTTATATCTCTGAGGATTTTAAACACTTTGCTTTAGTCTTACACTCAAGGGGAATAAAAACTTTTCCTGTAGAAACAGTTTCTCTGGAGCACATAAATTACCCTCTGACATTTCGAGACTTTTTAATTACACAAATATTTCTCTACTACACTGACAAACAGTACAAAAGAATACCAAAGAAAACCTTAAGATTCCCACAAGAATGTCAATCTTTGACTATGATCCCATGATCTCCACCTGCTTTTCTGTTCAGTTGAAGCTTCTCTTATTTGCATATTCTGTCTTGACACTTCAGTTTGTGCCTTTCATTCATCCTTTAACTTAATTATCATAGGCAGCACAACAGTTAATATATATCTTAACTTTATTGAATAAGTAGGCATCACATATAGGTTGCAAGTCATTCTTGGTGTTGCTTAGAGACAGGTTTTTATTCCCAGGCAAAATGAGAACACAAATCTAAATTTTTACAGCTACTGAAATACTTCTGCAAGGTTGCTTGGTATGGACAAAATCTCCCTCAATACCCATTCAATGCAGTCTTTGCTTACACTTCTCCCTTCATTTGAGGGATTCACAATATCTAAAATAGGCTTGTAAATAACCTTTCTGTATCAGAGGTAGTTTTGTGCCTGCATTATAAATCACAGAAGACATCTGGTCAGATACACGATAGAAACAGCAGAAAGTTACATCAGAGCACAGTTGAAGTCACTGATTTTTTTTTCAAGCTAACTGGCCATAGTGGCAAATATGTGAACCAAAATTTAGAATAGCTTTTTCATCCACTTAAAACAAAGCATGCAGAAACCTGTGTAGATAACAGCCTTAGAGACAACCTTAAATTTTGCTTGAGCACCAAGGATGCATTTTGAAAAGTGTTAAGTACATTTATGTGACATAACTAATGTAGTGGCTGAATGATGACCCACCCAAAAAAGATATGCTCATGTCTTAATGCACAAAATTTGTGAAATTATCTTATTTGGAAAAAGGGGTCTTTGAAGATGTAATTAAATTAAAGATCATCAGATGAGATTTTCATAGATAATCTGGGTGGGCCCTAAATGCCATCATAAGTGTCCATATAAGACAGAGGCAGAGGTAGATACACAGAGGGGAAGGTGATGTGAAGACAGAGCAAAGAGACAGCCATAAGCCAAGGAACAATGACAGCCACCAAAAAAGAGAAGATGAAATGAATTGTTTTTCTCCTACAGCATCCAGAAGTACAGCCCTGTCAAAAAATCTCAATTTTGGACTTCTGGAATCTAAAACAATAAGAGAATAAATATTTACTCTTTTAAACCATAGTGTTTGGGGTAATTTCTTAGAGTAGCCACAGGAACCTAATACAGATTTTGGTACTGGGAAATGGGGTATTGCTGTGATGAATACCTAAAATGAGAAAGTGGCAGCAGAATTTGATAATGGATCAAGGCTGGAAAACTTTGATGCACTCAACAGAAAAAGCATATATTTCCTCAACAAGAGCTTTGATAGAAATATGAATATAAAGACATTTATGATGAGGGCTTGGTAGGAAATACAGAAATTTTTATTGGAAACTGGAAGAAAGGCAATCCTTGCTATACAGTGTTATACAGAAAGATTATCTGAATTGACTCCTATAGTTATGTGTGAAGCAGAGCTCATAAATGATGAACCTGAATATTTAACTAAGGAGATTTGCAAGCAAAGTGTTGGAAGTATGGCTTAGTTACTTCTTGGTGTATATAGTAAAATAGAAAAGTGATAAATGGAAGAATGAATTATTAAGTAAAAAAGAATGAGCACTTGATGATTTGGGATATTCTAAGCCTAACCAGATGATAATAGATAGTAAGGATATTCATTGTTAGAAAAGTGCTCTAGAGACAAGGCCTAGCATGTGGCTGGACAACCTTTGGCTTATGCTGAAGAAATTAGGTATGGACTCATGGATTTACTTAAACATCTCTGCAGAAACCAGGAATAGAGATGAGCTTATCCAGGACAGATGTGTAAGGATCTTCTTTTCTAAATGTGTGAAATCAACATTACATATATGGGAGCCTCACCAGGTTTTTGAGAATGTTATACCAACAGAAACCCTTCTAGCAGGTCCTAAAAGGGTCAGAAACCAGACAAAATGAAAGAAGTCTGTCAGACTACCAAAATTCTACAGGCAGAAAACAGGCTGATGAAATAGCTGAAAATATGCGCTACCCTTCACAATAAAGGAAGGATCACTCCAAGGCCAGAGGTATAGGTATAAAGACAGAGACCTAAGCATAGGGACAGAGACAGAAGTATGAGCCATGGATACACAGGAAGAGGTCCAATCCATGATCTAAGAGGGAAGAGCTACAGACCCAGAAGATGGAGCCCTGAGACACACAGGCCTACTGCCAGGTCTTGAAACCTAAGGAGCATCTGTTTGGCTGTTTTTTTGAAAATGATTGGGACAGGTGACTTCTTTCTGCTTTTCACTCTCTCCTTTTTGGAATAGGAATGTTTGCAATTATTATCCCATATCCATTTCATTATTCTTTGCAAGAAAAAATTTGCTTTATTACATTTGTTCACAGATGGAAAGGGATATTGCCCTAGGATGGTTCATACCCAGAGTTTTATTCATACTTGATTTAGATGATGGGATTTGGGAATTTCAAAATAATGATATTTGGATGAAATTTTAGACTTAAGTGTTGACGTTGTGGCAGACATGTTGGCACATGCCTCTAACTCCAGCACTTGGGATGGTGAGATAGGAGGATCACCATGAGTTTGAGGCCAGCCTGGGCTACACAGTGAGTTCAAGACCAGCCTACACTATATAGCAAGACCTTGTCTCAAAAAACGAAAAAGAGTTGATGCTGTAATAGGTTGAAACTTGGGAATATTCGGATAGGGTGATTGTATTTCACACATGGAAGAGACCAAAATTTGGAGGCAGGGCCAGAGAGTAGACTATATAGGGCTGAGTGTGACTTCCAAAAAGGTATGTCAACATCACAATCCCCAAAACCTAAAAATGTTACTGCATTAGGAAAGAAAGTGTTACAGAAGTAATGAAGTTAAAGATCATGAGATGAGTAGATTAATCCGGGTGCTCTCTCAATGTTAGCATAAGTATTCTTATATGAAGGGCAGAGGGAGATTAGGTACTCAGAGCAGAAGGTGTTGTGAAGATGAGCAGAGAGAAATGTGGCCATAAGGCAAAGAATGACAATAGCCACCAGAAGCTAGAAGACCCAAGGAATGATTTTCCACTAGAGCTTGTGGAGGGAGCATGGCCCGGCAGGCTGGAACCTAGATTTCAAGCTTCTGGCCTCCAGAAATGTGAGAGAATTTCAGTTGCATTAAGCCATCAAACTTGAGGTCATTATAGAAGCCAAATGAAATAAATACAACTAGTTAATGTTTTAATGGTTTTGTACTTATGTTTTTTAACATTTTAAAGAAAATCAGCAAAAATAATATTGCTTATGTGTGGCAGTAATAAACAAAAGAGTTTAGTGTAATTTGGTTCTATACTAAAAATGTCACTATGTACTCTTTTTGGTCATACATTTCAATCTAAAACAAAACTGCCGAGTAGCTAGAACAGGACCATTATAAATCTGATAAGCAAATCCTTTGACTTAATTATTGGATCCTGAAAGGCTTTTTAATGTGTGCGAAAATCATGTGGGATTGCTTTAAACACAAATGTATAACTTATCAGTAATAGCTTTTCGTTCATTCTTGCTCACAAACTAGAAAACAAGGCAAGTTCACATCTGGAAAAGGTGATACACGTCAGTTTTTCTACCTTGACCAGCTTGATAATATGACATGGAAAATGTCCCAAATTTCAATAAGGATCTACATTTCAAAATCATTTTCCTACAGTCTGAAAAGCTACCAAAAGAAGCCATATTATGAAGATTCCAGAAAAGACTTTGTAAAGACAAAAATGCACATATTATTTACATAAATTAGTAAGACCTATACATTTTTTTCTTTTTGCTAAAAAATAGTGTGTGAAATGGATATGTCCTTAAATGTTTGTGTGTACATGTTTTAAGATAAGAAAAGTAGGAAAATCTCACATATTGTTACTTTTAAATTTCTCTATTGTAGCATCCTCAGAACATTTTGAAGTATAATACCCAAGTAAGAATGCACTGGAAAAAAGACAACAATTTAAATTATTATACATCTATATAAAGGAATCGGTGGACTTGTTTATATTATACCATAAGATAACTTACATGTATCTTTGTTCTGAATGCTAATATCATGCTTTGGAGGAGTGGAATTAAGATTTTCTACCTAAGAATTATATATAATAAATATTTTATAGTAATCACAATCATTTGGATGAATTAGGCTTAAAACTGCCCTCCAGAGAAGTTATACCAATTATTTCAATGAATATTTAAAAATAATAGACAAGTTAAGTATAAGTTTAATTCTCTCATCTATTTAAGAAAAATATAGAAATTGTTTTTCTTCCTAGAGTTGTTTCATTAGCATCATTTAAATGTGTTAATATTTAAGTAAGTATGATGATGATTGAGAAGCTCACTTAGTTGCTGGGATCTATATATGATTTCATTTTCTTCTTCAGACAATCAAAATGGAATTGGAAAAGGGAGTAGAAGGGGACATAAAACTATTGACCTTTTTGACTGTTTTTTCCTGCCTCCTGCAGAAAGAAATCTCTTTCCTTTAAGGTCTTCTAGAACTCTATTCCCTGTTCAAGGAAAAAAGAAGCAATAGAGAGAAGAAATCAACCACAGCATTGGAAACAGTATTTGCCTTTGAAAGCAAAGATAATAGAATGTTCAGATTCATCCCTAGCATAAACATTAAAATGTGGAGTTTTTCTCAAAAATAGCCATATAAAGTATTTGTATAAAGTAGATATCTATGCATAATTAGAAAATACCTCTTTAAATAAAGTTTAAGGCATTTTCCCTAACTGATTCTGTTAAACTTTGGTTTATTTTTAGCAGTGAGAAGTGTCTGCAATATCATGCTGAAATGCTACACTAATGATAAATATAATATCAGCCAAAGCAGATGAATCAATCAGCTTTCACTTGAGATAAAATTCTGTGTAACTGGACTGGGGTGGAGCAGTACTTTTTTTAATTTCTAAAATGGCTTCTCCTATAATGTGGACAATATCAGCACATTCCTAAATCATTGACAAGCAAATTTTTCTTCGACTTTTTTTTTATATGTAGTAAAGTTTGTAAGCAGACATTGAATAATTCTTTCTATTCTTCATCTTCTCTTCCTTCTTTTTTTTTTAGTGGGAGTGACCTAGAAATTTAAGATTTAAAATTTTTACAACAATATGTTTGAAAGCCTTAGAACTCACTCAATTTCTTACATTTGCATCTTGAAAATCAGGTCAGACACAACAATAAATAATTAACTTCTTTACACTAAAGTGGAACAAACATTTCATAATCCCAACAACCATGTTCAGATTAGTATAACTGTGGGAAGAATCCTGCAACAGTTTTACAAATTCACATTACTTCATCCAGCTTAGCTTGACCTGTACAGAAATACACTTATTTCTATCCCTTGAGTGCGTGTTTTGTTCTTACAATGTATGATTTTGTTTAAATGTTTTCATATTCTTTGGCATCAAATCACTTAGATGAGATTGCTCCATTGTGGCGTGAGCGTGACCTTTCCAGAGGTACTCGCCTGTTATCTGTAAGACAAAGAGAAAAAGAACCAAAAACATGGTAAGTCTTAGATCTTGGCTATTATATGATGTCAAGTCTAGAGAGGTTTTCAAACAGTCCTCAAAATCACTTCAAATGAATATGTAAATAAGCAATAAGGAGCCCAGATCTGAGGATTTCACACTGCAGCTGCTAGGCTGAGTTCAAGAGTTCTGTAATCAGCAATAAATGACTTTTCTTGGTAAGCAAAGTCAGAGTTATATAAGAAATGGAAGAATTCTCTCAAGCACAGTTCCCTTGAAAATAGCAGGTGACAACAAATTTCCTTGGTAAACATGTAAAATTAAAAGGATCTATGTATAGTGCCTTTTGTTGGAAAGCACTTCAATTCCCCATGAGATTTCAATTTCTATGTTGGCTACCTCTAGAGGACACCAGTGTGGGCAGAGCAGAAGAGCTTTTATTTTTTTACAATGATTACAATATGTGGCAATCAATCCAGCTACTGAGTTTGCCTGATTGTATGATGTAAACAAATTCAATACATTATATGGTCATTATGGGAATGAATAATGAATGGGACCTATTCTGGGTCTCATTCTCCCCACCCATCACAGGAAGAATAATCATTATAGAGATAGCTGTTGGCACAAAGCTTGGAAAGTAAAGTTTAAAAGCACTGAAAGTTGCTGAAAATAGTTTTAGCTTTAATAGGGAAAAGGTTTACAGCTCTGCATTGTGATGATCACTACTATGTTATTATCACCTCTGTTTTATGCTGTTTAAATGCAATTGATATGGGTGAAAATCCATTTTTGACAAAAACATAATATACTTAGATTCTCCATTTAGAATAAGACTAGGTCCCTAGAAATAATGACAACCAGCAGCACTTACATAAATGCTAACACTTTACACTCGTTAATTTGCTAATTCACACAACATCCCCGGGAGGTAAACCCATTTTATTGTATCCTATTATCTCTGCTTTAGTGATGAAGGTTGCACAGGAAATCAATGGCGTGATGGGGTATTACAATGCAAAGTTACTGCATAAATGTCAGGACTGCTTTGTACAGAGGTTGATGTTGGGGCTTCCCAAATTGCTACTGATTTTCCCGCTCAGATTATGAAGCTCAACTAACATATCCAGTCTGTTACATGAGAATGATGGAGAGAAGTTCAGAGGTTTTTCCATGGTGCTTTTCTAGTCTGTCCTAGCATCTTAGGACCAATTCCTGGAAGTCCTTGGTCGATACACAAAGCAAAACTCACTGGTCCCCATGATCTTGGCTTCATTGACATCACCTCGTAAGTACACTGAGCCAACCAGCCATAAGATTAAAGCATACCCAGAACTTCATAATGCAATACTCAGAGAAGAAAAAACAAGAGGCATTTTCTCTCCTTGGAAATGTATCTGGATGATGGATTACTTGGGTAGCCTTTTGAAGATACCATTAAAAATCCATTATTTAGTTTGTGATATGGATCACAGTTCACCTAAAAATGTGAAGATAACCTCCTAGATAAGGGGCTTATTACTTAGATGTCACTGGTTTGCATACAGATTGGCTTGGGACTTCTTAGAAAACATTTTTAAACGAAATTACAATATTATATTTCTTGTTGCACTGCTAGCATTTAAGCATTCGACATTAAAAGTTATCAGATATGATAATGATGGTAGTATTACCATAGGATTGTGCCACTTTGAAAAAGTGTTCATGCCTTGGTAGTCCTACATAATAAAGTCAACAGGTATCCATGCTTCACTCTGGAAATGCTACTGCCACCCGACACTATCACTTACTATCCATTGGATCCATGACTGTTTCTAAAAACCCATAGCATTAAATGATGGGATGTGAGGAATCATATCAACTTGCAAGTTATCAGTGGTATTTGATATTAGAAAATAGACTTTTGAGACAAAGCAAACTGGGCAAAGGATACTGAACTTTTGGAAGGCAGAATAAACACTGGTTCAAGATACCAATCTGACTTTTGGAATACAAAAAATAGAATTATTCTATATTTTCTCCCTCCCTTCCCTTTTTCCTCTCTTCCATTCTCTCTCTTTTGGGGTGCCTAATTCATCCCTAAATTGATGAGATAATTATATGAAGTAATTCTATAAAGGTTATCACTTACATTTTCAAAATGTCAACACACACCATGTTTATGAAAACAAAAATGCCATTAGAAACGGTGGCAGCAATTGCTGGTCTGGAGCATTTGTTTTTTTTCTAATTCTCTGTATTTATGTTAAAACTCAGTTACAAAGTATATATTTATACTCTAGACTTGTATGGATTGAATCATAAGTGGAATATAGAAAATAGTGCACGTATAGACACACACAAACACACATTTCCAACTGGCTTCACATTCTAACGGATAGCAATCTAATTGTGACAACTTTTCACTCATGGAGTCATGTTTTCTATGAATTGGAGATTGAAAATTCAGTGAGTGAATTGTTTGAAATACGACATTTATATTTAGAGTAGTACATTTGCCCTCATCAGTTGGCATCACATTTATTAGAAAGAAAAGATGTTATTGCTGTCAGTGATAACAGAGTAATTTGGGTGATTTGTGAGAGGGATGGGGTTTCTTGTTTGCAAACAGGTGGAAGAAGTAGGTGACCAGGTGTATGATTTCAGAGCTCCACAAGACCCAGCCTGAACCAAATTCATTTTGCTAGTCTTATTCTCTCAACACTAATACCACTAGAGTTTAGACAACAAAAATAGAGGCCTTATTTCCAAAAACTAGGTAGTTTAAAATATATGTATTTACCTGAGATGATATAGAGGACTTTGTTAATAAGTAGTGGCATCCCTTTCCAGTCCTCCTGTTATATTTTTGGAAATCAAAGACAGGAAGATGGTGGAGGAAGTATTTGTCTATGCTTGTATACTTGTTGAGGACACTGTGCAGTGAGACAGGACAATGACACATTTCATTGGAGGAGGTGGGCACATGATTTATCATTCTTTTTCTGCTTCTTTTTTTTAAAAAAGTTAAAAAATAGAACATTATATGGAATAAGAAAGTCTATAGGGCCAAATATATCTCCATGGTCTAAGAATTCATTGGGAGATTCTATTGGTTTGTAAGCATGAGGATTCATGGAACAATAATCCTGAGATGTTAATCCCAAAATGCACCTTTCAAATCCACCAGAGACAATAAAGATATCCTAACAGAGTCTCTTCTGTCTTCAAAGACTTGTCATTGATTTATGCCCCATGTGTAGGTAAACAGATTTTGAGACTGACCTGATTAAGATGAACAGAAGAACACAGTTATATGAATATGTGTACCCTATGGAACAGAGGTGGCCAAAACCAAAGACAGTCTTCAAATAATTCATGAAAGAGAATACAAATACTGTACATGGCCCAGCTGAAACATGATTGTGCAACTTCTGAATATCACATTAACCAGGCCCTTGCCATCAGAGCAAAAACCTTTGTGCTGTTTCTAAGCATATATTGACTTGGCATACATCTCAAAACCTTCCCAAGTTTTGCAGTGAATAGATTAATCCCCTTATTGTACTGTTCTAGAATTCATTCATGCAATCATTTATTCAACTATGTACAAAGCACATCATTCACGATATTCCTAAATGTCACTAAGGTGTAGATCCATACCTGAATGTATATCATTCATTTTCTTACTAAAAAATCTTTCAAGCGAAATATCTGAGGAATATGTACAACTTAGAAAAAGTTTAAACAACACAAAATGAGATAATCTAGAAAAGATTCAAGCCTACAGTGTGTAACCTGGGAATATGTAATTAGTCTTCTAACAAAGTGAGCATATGCCAAGGCACAGGCTGTATCTTGCATACTACCTAAAGAAATCAAGTTGAGATTGAAAAAAAATTGTTTATAAAATGGCTAAATTCCTGGCAAGGTTAGGTGTCCCTGTCTATGCAAGGGCTATTTTTTTTTTCCTGGTGTTTCATGGACATGTAGCTGTATCAATGCTGACCTAACAAAATATTGTATACTCCTCCATCATAGCAGGATAACAGTAAAACAAGTATATGTCGAGTATGTACTACACACTGTGTTACAAAATATCCCTTCTTAATTCACATTAGTTGTCTAGAAAACATAGTAAAGGAAACCCTCTGTGATTTAGGGTGAGCTTTGTTTTTGCCAAAGATTTTCAAAAGTGATGGTGGGACATATTACCATCAATGGGTAGGCACTGTTTCTAGCAAACAGCAAACAACAGGCTAGGTCTATACAGCTCAGGCTACGGAAACCAAGAAAACTTTACATTGCTTCCAGAAATGTCTATTGAGTATGTATTTGCACCCTAAGCAGTATTAAAAGATAATTTATTTTAGGTTGTTATATTGAAATCATCTCAGATTTTTTTCCCCTTTGTATCCAAAACTGTTTGACTTATATTTTCTCTGTGATTTTAGGGATTCTCTGTATTGGATACATTTCTCAATTTCTCACTCACTAGAAATGGCTGGAAGGTAGCACCCAAATTAGGGTTGGGACTAATCTCTTAGTGGGACACATGTTCTCTATTAGTTGACCAGATTCTCTCTTTTTACTAGAATGCTATCTTTAAAAAAAAATGTTTTGAGTTCAAAGTATACATGAAATTTGGTGTCCTACTGTTTCATTTAATATTTCATTATAAAAATTTTCCGTGTCAGTAAACATTTAGAACATGATATAGAAAACATGACTTTTAAGGGCCACATAATCTTTTTATATTGTAAAAATACTGTATACCACCAATGTAGTTAACAATTTCTCTAATGCAGGACATTTAAGTTATTCCCAATATTTTGCTATTATAAATAGCATAACAATGGATATCTTTATAGTTACACACACACACACACACACACACACGCACGCACCATGTGTAGAAATGGCATTGTGAAAATTAAGTTCAAATTATATTCCAGAATACTTCTATTAATTTAAACACAATTGCCAGTATATGGATTTGTCTGTCTTACCTTATTGTTGTGTCT